AAGTCAGACCGCAGTGAATAATGCATTCCCCAAGTTTGATGATATCCGACACCTTGTCCCGTGTACCTGTTCTTGGATATACCTTGGAATGGTACATGTAATATATACCTAGGTAGGTATATATAACACTCGAGGTTATTTCGGTATTCATGAGCATAAACAGGCAGGGCGCGAATTGTGCCATAGGAAAGCTCTTCATTGTAATTCACACGGCAGTACGTTTTCACTTAGTATTATTTGCATTCTTAACCAAGTAATTACCAAAGTTAGCTATGTCAACTAATACCCAACAAAAATGACATGTCACGTTGTACATAATCACTCGAAATGTGTTACTATACGGTATAGTTGACCTCAACTAGGTACTTATCTAAGCAGGTATATTCTCATGTATTATTTGCTAGACATCGGGGTACCCTTCATGTTTCCTCACGATGATCAACTTTGATTTCTCTACGTAGTACCACGTCAGAAGAAGTAGTACCGTAATACCGGACTCCCAAATATGTAAGTATTAGGTATCTTGGCGCAGACGGAGGGTATCCCTATAAAGTATCTGCTTATACTAAAGTAAATCACAAAAAGTCGCAACCTGTCCCCCGAAGTTGAAGATAGCCACTTTGCATATCACATGGGATGATAGTATTGGGGTAGGTTAATTCAAGTCGAGTATCACGTCTTGTCTTGAGTGTGAGGGCTCCTGATGGATGGCATTACAATATTATATGAGGGGGGGGACACACTCGCCACGTTATTTAAGGAAGTTCGTTTGTGTTAAAAGATATAAACACCACTCCCCTCCCCCCTTTTTTTTGGCTTTCCACGGGACCTTGTGGGAAAACGAAAATTTCCCAGGGGACTGAAATGTATAGCCCTTCCCAAAATACTCTTAACTCTATTCTTGATCATAGATATTCAACCCCAGAAAATTCCAGCTGGTTTGGTAGGATATAGATAGTATTGAAGCTCACAGCGAAGGATGCGGGATCCCCCAAATAAAATTAGAGAGAGAGAGAGAGAGAGAGAGATGACACAAGTCCATACCTATTTCCATTTTCATAGGGTTGATGCATTGAAAGAGCCTCATCATCTGAGAGAATGCTTACTCGATATAGGTGCTTCCCCCCTTTTAACACTAGATACTAGTTATAAGCCTGTGGCGTAGTTGACAGTAGTTTGATACAATGAAAACATCGCTTTTGACTCTAATTTCACGTTAATGGGCATTTAGCAAGAAACATGCATGGCATTTTGGTTTAACTTTAAAGATATTAAATAAATCCGTAACTATTCTCGCCATAATTAAATGCTTAAGATATATGTCAAGGGCAAGTTGTAATACTTGTCTATTTATGTCATTGAAGTCATCTGTTCTCATTTTCCCAAAAATTTCACGATGGCTCATTGAGCGGTCACGTTGTATTACAAGGAAAGAACAATACTTTTCAAACATTTAAACGCAAACATACTGATATAAGGCCAAATCTTTATTTTGCCAATAGTTGGTAGTTTAAAATGCCTTGATATCTGTCGCGGGCGAGGGCATCGCCAAGGACCATCTAGGTACTTACACGAGACTAGATCACGTGATCATATGGTTATAGCAACGGGGGTGGTGCTTCTCTCCTATTGTCAAGTAGGGTCCTAGAAGAATACAGAATAGTCTCTTATGTGCCTTAAAATCAACACCATATATAAAAGTGATAGTGTCTTACAACGTGGTAAATAATGTACAATCACCAACATAGCATAAATATGTTGTTTTCAGGTATAAGCAAGCAATAGTATCGCAGGTAGGCGTACTTATAATCTCTCGTACAATAGCATCGTGGTTCAAAACCTAGGTAAGTTCTTGCAGGATTGCCCGTAGTACTTATGTCTTATGTCAAGAAACTTGGTGAATAGCTGCTACCAAGAGTGTGTATATACTAGCAGTGCCATACACTACCTATATTCATACGTATGGCTGCCCTTTCTCGCGACAGAAGACTTTATTTTCAGACCCCTAAACGTCTAGTCTCGTTGGATTCTCAGCTGCTTGGGCATCATTTACATGCAACCCGATACTACCTACCACTCAAGCCCCTAAACCGGAGTGGCAAGATTGTTCTTTATTTTCTTGGACTCAGTTAAGCAGCTATAAGCAATTTGAGTCACATTGTAGATAATGGAACCATCCGCCAATAAAGTGTGAGCCCTTTAGGTATCATGTTCTAGTGGAACGGTTCTTTTCGTTCCTGAAGACCCCCCGTGGCTCCGTTTATTACCATGATAATCGTCTCTATGAAGTTTTGTTGAACCTAGTTACACTAGGAATATCGAAGTCTAGGAATGGCTTTGACGAAGGGGGCTTAGGGTTACACCTGTTAGTGAGAGCCACAAGATAACATTGAAATACATAATACGTTAGTTATCGGGACAAGAACTTGATGCCCCTCTGAAATGGGTTCCATGTATGACAAATTCCTCTTCCCTTCCCCCGTGGTTGTTGTATCTCACCGCCTGGTGGTTCTCTTGGTAAAAGTCAAAGCCCAGAGCTTCCATCAAGAGAGACTTGTCAATGTTGCCACAACACGGGCCGAGTAGCCGTCGATATATTCGTTGCCTCCAGCGCACGAAGCTAAGGACTTTAGCTTTCCACTCTGCAAGGGAGGGCGTTGCCCCGGAAAGAAAAGAAAAAAAGAAAAAAAGAATATTGCCTCTGCGGACGGTTGACTAGCGCTTAGACAGTGGCAAACATCTAGACATGTACATACTCCCAAACCGGAGTGCCCGGATGGGATTGCCAAACTGGTACATTGGCAATGCTTGAGCACCAGAGTAAACTATTCTGGGCTTAGTACCTAGGTAGTTGACGGCAGTTAGCTGTAGGGAAATGCAATCGTATGACGGGTGATATGTATAAAAGCCAAGAATAAGTTAGTCTGGATGTTAGTATAATACCTACACTCATTAGGGAGGTAGGTAGACAGGCCACAGACTCACAGATTAATAACTAAATAACTAGAGGCCCGTCGTACGACGGCAGGCCCAACAAGAACGCTTTGAATAAATCATTAGATAGGAGCATCAATGTGTAGGTAGTGTAGGTGTAAGTGAGTTGCCTTGATGAGCCTCGGGTTCGGGAGATGGGAAAGGGCTGGTCGAGACCGGAACCGGAGGGCTGCTTTGGGGCAGGGAATCATCAAGTCAATTTACAATGCAGGAACACGTTTTCCGGGTAGTGTAGAACAAAAAAGAAGAAGCCAGGGGGGGCTGGCAAATGGATACGTTATTCTTCGTCCCTGGCGTAACAATAACGTTACCTACTAGCCTTACCTAAATGTAATCGGGGTGCAGGGTGACATAAAGCATGATTCGCAGAAGCCTTCTGTTTCCCCCCCCAGTGCCGAGCCAGCATAAAGTAGTAATTTAACCTTAGGCGGTATGACGGCTGGAAATTAAAGGCTGTAAGCGGCGTGGGTAACAGGTTGTGTAAGTAGGTAAGTAAGTAGGTAGTATGTAGTACCTAGTGTAGGTGTAAGTTCTGATTGCAGAAATACGCGATAAATAAAAAATAAAAAGCAAGCTGGAATGCAAGGCGGATGCGCCATGACTAGGTGGTGTAATGTTATGTATGTAGGTATACTGCTACTTACCTATACAGCATGCAGCGCGCTTTGTACATCGGTAGATATTAATTGCCTTTCAGATTGGTCTTCGTTATCAATATAAGCAGGTATACTACCTAACCTAGTAGGTACAGAGTAACACGAGGACCGGTGAAAGGGAAGAACAACGAATGGAAAATAAAACGTTCTTGGGTACTAGGTGGGTATGTACATGCCTGGTATTCCAAGCTAGTAAATAAGCCCATCGGGACTAAAAGATGACCTGGGTACCTGTTATTCAAGAGGTGCGGATGTTCCCGTCCTCTAGTAGGTAGTATCAAGATTCTATACAACTCTGGTTTTGTTGAATTGCCAGGGTCATGAAACATATCTCTCTCAATCGGTACCGCCACGGTCTGTAAAGAGACTTGTACATGTAGCCAAATCTAGCGTGCATATGCAAGTACACGGCCCACCTTGCAAGTTCCCAATGGAGTAATTTTTTCAATGGGGAAGGGGAACTTTTCCCCGGACGAACGAAGGAACAGGAAATTTTGGTTATGCTTTTTTCTTCTTTTTTTCTTTTCTTTTCCTTTCCGTGACAAGAAGGGACTCCCTTGTCGCCGGAGTGGTATTCATCGAACCTAAAATGCAGGAACTTACCTAGGTTAAGATTTTTTGCGCGATCCTACCAATCCTAGCGTTCCGATGAACATGGAAGTTATATTAGATGAAGGGGGGAGCCAAGGAGCGCATCAAAGGTTAAATTCATGATATGTACATGTGTACCTTAATACATATGTACTACCTACATACATACATAATTATGTATGTAGGTACTCCCTGTTCAGGGATGGGGTTCTCAATTGTCAAGCCTCGAAGCCGCTAAGTTAGGCGCGCGCGCAGGCTGGGGGGTTAGGTACCTGACCTGAATCTGACTTACCTAAGAGGCTGGCTTACCTGAACTACATGTACTACTGCTCCTGCTGCTGCTGCGGTGTTCCAGTCTTCTTGCAACGTGCTACATACCTACGTCAATAGTTGAGTAGTGTACATTCATAGTTCTAGCCTATTCGATTTAAAAGTCACAAGGTCAGCCTACCTAACCTACCTAGTCCTCAAACGGTCATCCGATGTTGTCATGGCCTTGTGATATGGCAACAGCAAGGTAATGTACTTAGGTAAGTACTTTGACGAGACAAGCGCGCACTACCTACATACCTAGTACCTACAAGTTATAGGCACGTACCTTCATCAACAGCCCCTGAAAGAGGAGGTACCTACCTAATCGACTGGAGGTATCCAAGGTTTGGTAGGTAGGTTTATCGACGACTACAAGCAGAATCTCGGGCAACAACTGCCATGTCATGTTGGCGTCGCGGGGAAGAGGGAGGGTTTTGCCAGACACAAGCCCGTTTAGAGCAGAGGTTAGCTCGCTGGCCTCCGGTTCTTTTCCAGATCCTTACAGCCAGAAGTCATTGGTTCGAATCCGATAACGGGTGTTGGTTCTCTTTCTCCTTTTTTTTTTCTCTCTTTTTTTTTTTTTTTTACTTACCAACTTAACTTCTATTTTTATTTTTAAATCCAATTTGCGTATCCATCACTAGTTAGCTGCACTACGTCTTCACGCATCCCCTCGTCACATTGGATATTTCCTCCCTCCTTTTCCCTTGCATTCAGAGCTACTACCTTGCATACCCATCACCACGTAGCACCACCTGTCATCTGGTCTTGTCGGTCCCCCCTATGTAACTTGCTTGCTTGGCCAAAGCCTCTTAGTTTCCTTCCCCATCATCTAACCCTAGTATTCCGTTCCCGCCATTGGCCACCATCGAGTGATGCGTGATGTTCCTCTCGGGAATCAGCAGTTTCTCCCTGCACGTATCCGCCCCCAAGATCAGGGGGTCTCGTCGTACAGCATAGGTATATGGCCGATGTCAACATAGCCGTCATGGCGGGATGGGCAAAGTGTCTACTCCAGCTATCTGTCGAGCTATCTAGTGTAAGAGATCACTGATATCATCGATATCCGAGCACTTGCGCACTGTTTCTGCTCTCGCTGCTACCGGTCCGTCTCCCGTCTTTCCCCTCAGGCTGTTCACATCTTGCCAGGGATGGGTATCACGGTATTAGCTGCTCTCCACCCGTTCTCCTCTCACATTCGGCCACAGACATAAGATCAGGAGGGGGCACGGGACGAAGCTCAAAGTAAAAGGCCAATTATAGATTTCTATTGCTTTTCGCGAAATTACAGTGTCTCCTAATTCAGGTACCTGAGACTGATAAAGAGTGGACAGGAATCAGCCAGATAGATCCCAGCAAGCCAGAACACCCTGCCTCCGCCCACTCATTTCCGTATGAAGCGAAATAGTAGAGCCGTGTCCTTCCCCATCCCATCCGTGTACCAAGGTTTGTACCCCCGGCGTTGGTCGTTGTCTTTCTCCAAGGGGGCGTTGGGGTGCTGCCTTTGTTAGGCCGTTTAAGCCTCGCCAAGGCCAGGGGGAGTCTGGCAGAGAACGCTCTGGCCAAGCTGTAAGGGGGGAGGGATTCATGTTAGCAAAGGCACTGCATGACAGTTGCGTACCGCACATGGAGGAGTTTGACATACCACTGGGAGGACACAGCAGCGGGCGCGCTGGCCACCGGCCGCACAGGTAGCCTGGAAAGTGCTGACGCTAGTGACAGCAGCAGATGCTAAGATGGAGAGTTGGTGTTAGCTACCTAGATCTTGGTATTTCATGTTGCACATGTTGCTTGTTACTTACGGGAGTGGCAGTCGAGATCAGCAACACCTAGGACGTCGGTAGCGCAGCACTGAGGGCTGGAGTACAGTCCGTCAGGGCAGGCGACGTAGCTGCCGCCGCTGCCGCCATCACCGCCACCGTTGCCATCACCACCACCGCCGCCGCCAGTGGTAGGGTAGTCGGTGGGAACGGCGAGAGCAGCAGTAGCCAGGAAGGCTACGAGGGAGAAAATGGTGGTCTTCATCTTGAAAAAGAAGGTTGATGAGCTTCAAGGAGCGATGTGAGTTGAGCGAGAGGCCTGTTGGTTGAGGATGCTGAGGATGTTGGTGATCTGAGCTGGTGAGTAAAAGAGAGATCTGGACGAAACCTGGGAGACGTCGGTGATTTATATAGACATCTGAGCTCTAGAGTCCTGGACGATATTCGTATAGATGTTGATCGCAAATTGCGTTGTCGGAGGTCGATGGGACCCCCTTTTCGCCCTCCTCGTCCTCGTCGGCTCACGTAACTACCTACCCTAGGTAGCCCACCCCCCTACGCCTGGCTTCCATAACACATCCATTATACAGCCCCTTTAATGTCTGTGTCATGGAGAGGCGACGGATGGAACCATCGGCAAGGTAGTGTACAAATCACCTGCTAGGAAGAATCTCGATCCTCCAGTATCTACTCTCGCCTGAGATCTCGAGTAGTCTATACATCGGCGATCATTACCATCTTCAAACGTCATTTTCACACCTACATTTACGCAGCCCTGTAGCTCCAATCGTCCCAGTATTACCTGCCATTGCCAGGCTTCAGCTGTTGGCCTACCTACGACCTTGGCAACGAGAGGAGGCTTCGTGATTGGGGTGGGATATCTCTCTCCCTGACTGGGCCGCTCTATATTGTGGCTACCACCTAGAAGCTGTGGAGCAGACGGTTACCACGGAACCGTTGGCGTGACCTAGGTTGTGAGAGAGATCTCGTATGACCACAGGAGTACCCTACCTTGACTGCCATCTGCCTAGGTAATAGCTTCGTGGCTTGCTAACCCCCATACCTAGACCTAATCGACACGAGGGAACGTTCCTCACCGTACATGTCCATGCTTATTGATCGGTTGTCCCACAGTGGCTAGCTGCGGCAGCTGTACCCTAGTGAGCTGTTACGCATCGATCTAGGTAAGGGCTGACTGTGTGTAAGGCTTGCGCTAATCTAATAAGAATCCCTGCTAGTCTTCGGTACAGGGTATATCAGGTCACTTACACTACCTAGGTAGTCTAGGTTAGCTACTAGGTATGTAAGTAAGGGGGGGGAAGGGGGGGCAAACGGCGGAGGACTAGGGAATTGCTTCCTACATACAAGGCTGTATACATATGAGAGTTCCTCTGGAAAGACTCGGAGATCTCGGGTAGTTTGAGCATATCTACCCAAGTTACAGACTCTCTATGCGGAGTGTCCTACACTAGCCGATCATCCTGCCAATTGGATCTATCCCCCTCAGCCTCTCGGGTACGACTCGAATATCCGCTCCCCCGTGCAGCCATTCATGAGTCTAAAGCCACGACGGCTACTTGCTGAAGAATCGAAAGTTATCGAACGATTGTTATTTATAGGCGCTTGTGCTTTTTAAAAAATTTAAATTTTGTAATTTTCTGTCTGCCTCTCTCAGGGCTTCGAAGTCCTAGGAATCGTCCATGAGGCATACTGGTAATTTCGATTCCATACGAGTCAGAAATTAGTATTCGAGTTGTTGAGGAAGCAATCGTGGGACCTGCATATAGTATAGGCCTTTGCTGCGTTGTCTAGACCCGTGTCTTGACCCCCACCGAGTCCCATCTCGTGAATCACTGTCACTATCTCCTAATTCCAGATAGGAATAAAAGATAAAATCTACAACACCCCAGGAACAGGAAATAAGCATATCTGCAATGTAACCTCTCAGGTTCAACCGCGGCTTGATGAGAGCAGAGCGGCTGTTGTTGTAGAGGCTAGTGCCCAATCTGCTGCAAAAGGAAGGGGGATGCGTATGCAGGTGATATTTACAATTCATCGCCCAGCCAGTCTCGACCTATCAACTCGACCTGTTGATTGGTCTAGGCATGCAATGTCTCCTCACACATACACATACACACACACACCTCTCGATAGGTAGTATCTAGGTAGGTAGTGCCCATGGAATACATAGGGGATAGGAAATGGCGCTCGGAAATCGATCTAGCCGGATAACCATTGCAGATATCCGTTCGTTAGCAAGCAGAGGGCTCAAGAAGCACCTGAAAAAAAAAATCACCGTCTAGCAAGGTGTCTAGCGTCAACAGACCAGGCGACGTTACGAACTGACATCACCGTTCTTCTTTGCACACTGAAGGGGGGGGCGTAAAACTTGTATAAGCCACGAGAAGTCTTGCTTTTCTGCCGCCACAGGCCCAAAGTCCTGGTAACGGGGTCATTTCTGTTGAATCCTGACGTGGTTAATTTGCCTGAGTTGTACAGAATTATGCATAAGATATAGTACATTGCTAGTATCACTTCAGCCCAGGTCAAAGTGCTGAGATGAACTGAATTGTCCACCCAGCTTGATTGGCTTTTGCTCCTATATTTTAACTAGCGGTCCTGGGATATCTGATACAAAAAACATCCGAGAGCTCTATAGCAAAGTCTGGGCCCATCTCCACACAAATCTGGGTTGTTAGCCCTAGCAATGTTTTTCATATAATGCAGAAATTCAGGTCGGACCGTGGTGGTCCCCATGCGTCTGCGCCAAGACCCAACTACCATCGACGTGGGTTCAGAAGACGTGACGTTTCCCTGAACCATAGAAACAAAGTCACCGGTTGTCATTAGAAAATCATAAACGGACCTATCCACAACTTCGTATCCAAGTCGGGTTATATTCACACCGGCTTATTAGTGTACCCTACCTACTTACATCTCCCATCTCATCACGCTGCCATCGAAAATATCAGATGATCGAGTAAAGGAGGTTATTTCCTATCCAGCCTCTACGTAGCCCACGTTGTGACCAGCCACAAAAACAAAAGGATCAAGTCAGCTCAACACGTTTCTAGACTAGGGGTAAGGAGGTTATGCTCTTTTTTTTCTCTCCCTCACCCTCACCCTCTCTCTCACCCACGTCTACCGACTTCTTCGTTGGCGTTCGTAGTTATCGCCGGTGTCAGACCGCCAGAAGTAGCTTGAGCGAATAGTGCTTTGCCATCGCCCCGATACCTACCTAGTTCTAATCACAGCAGCATCCACCGAGTACGAATCTCACCATCTCCGCTTAACCCGAACACCCTCACGGCGGCTAAAGGAGGCGGATCAGGAGCTGGGGGTGGGAGGGAGAACTGGATGACGGGAGATCCGCGATTGAGTCAGTGGGCAGCACTGGTCTCAGTATGGCCTTTTGCCCTCTTGTCGTAATGATGGCCATATTTTCCGGGGAAGCTATATGGGTCCGGCAACTTAAAAAATTTACGAGATGATACCCACGCCCGGTCTCGCCGGATCCTACTTGATTGAGTCCACTGCTATTGAGATCTGCTTCAGGAACGTTCTTACCGTCACTACCTACCTACCTGCTGCTATATGATACGAAAAAAAAAAATACTCTTCAGCGTATCCCATAACATAGATACTGCAAGGCCATGGTGCAACTTTTCCAAACTCAACATCTGTATGGTGTGGGAAGTGCTTACACAGGCAGGTAGGCTAGGACAGATCGGAGGATAAGAGCTGAAGGATGTTATAACTCGGGCAAACCCCGAGAACAC